TGAACTTGAAGAGATGAGGAATAAGAATGAAGGATTGGTGAAAGTGTTTGAAGTATGGGAAGAAATGGGTACTCGGCCATTTACATGGTTTACTTTATTGAGTGTTTTGAGATCAGCTGATGTTGATGAGTATGAATTAGCTGATGAGTTATCTAAACTATAATTGTTATTGTTGGGAATTGTATTGTGTGTGACTGTTTAAAATAAGTACTTTGCCTTTGAATGTGTGCAATAACTGAAATTTATAATTCTTAATAATAATTTGAGACATAGTTAAGTTAATTTATTATTAGACGAAGTTTGTATTAACTATATAAGCTAGAGCAAGCGAAGTTGTTGGATCACTTTTTTAGCTAGCAGAAGCTACTAGTATGAAGAAAATATTACTTTCTCTAATAAATTTTTTTTTCTTTACTACTCATGGTAAGCAATTTTAAATTTACTCATTTACACTGTTTATAGTTTCAGGCAGTATCTTCACTAATGTACCAGTGACACAATATGTATATATCAATGATAATGTGACATTTGAATGTGCTATTAATGTGACTCAACTTGTTCTCTTTCTTGAGACTTATCCATCAGTTGATGGTTCAGCATTATCCTCTGGTGGAATGGCATCACTCACCTTAACAGCAACAAGTGAAGTAAATGGTACAGAAGTTACCTGTAAAGTACCCGATGAAGCTTCTACCACTGAACCAGTATATCTATATGTACAAGGTCAGTATAATGTTGATTAATGAAGTGACTGTACTCAAGCATTCATTTAGTTTGTATTGTTGTTACACTTTTACTTGTACATCATTTGTATCAGCTAGTCAATTGAACAATTTTTGTTATCATTCCCAGGTCCACCTGATAGTGTCAGTAGTTTAACAGGATATCAGTTAGATTCTTGTTGTATGTTTATCAGTTGGTATCCTCCATTCACACTACCAGGACTAACAGTACAGTATATAATCAGTGTAGGAACTGATCAACAGTACCTTAATGACTCTATCACTAACTACACTTACTGTCCAATGAACCCAACCAATGAACAATATCTGTTTAACATTACAACTACTAATAAAGCTGGGAATGGATCTACTAGTAACATAACTTTTGAATTTCAATCAACAAGTAAGTAATTATACTTATTGAGAGCCTAAAGTGATTATTCTATACAGTAGATGTAGAGTTATATGTAACTGATAAGGAAAGAGGGAATGTAAATTGGACTTTTCATTTCATTGTATCTGTAAGTTCCCTAATAGGATTAATCATAGCCAGCTATGATAATTTTAAGGCCACTATACACCAGGCAATCCTATTGCTTGCAATCTGTGGTTACTTTAATCTTCAGGCAATACTGTTACCTAGAATAGAAACCTGTTCTATTCTAGACAACACATTGCTTACAACATCAAAGTAACCACAGATTGCAAGCAATAGAATTGCCTGGTGTATAGTGGCCTTTGTAATAGTAAATAGTAGTGTTAAGGGATAATAGACAGACTATAGTATTATAATGTATTATAGGTAATGTGTAATAAATGTACCATGTATTATAATGTATAGTCTATA